TGGGAGGGGGGCTAGGGTGTTCTAGAGAGAGTCTACGGTCCATTGGCAGACGAGCTCTTGAGGGCTTGCGTGCAAGCACCCGAAGGCTGAGAATGGCTGAGCGGACATCGGGTGGCTGGAGACCGGACAACACCTGACTGTCGCTCTTGTGTTACAGTGGTCGGCGCGCTGCTGTGCCTGCTGCTGACCGCCTGCGATGTCCGGGGGCAGCTGCCGCCCTCGCTGGAGATCGCGGGCCCCACCGCCCTGGCCATGGCCGTGCCGGTCCCGGTGGCGCCCTGGCTAGTCGCCGGGGGCGCATCGCGCAGGCTTCTAGGGTTCGCGGGGCAGACCCAGGTCGAGGACGGTGCCGTGCCCGTGAGTCCCGGACCTCCAGAGCCGAGTCCATCGCCGGACCCGGAGGTGTCCTCGGCAACCATCACGTACCTGACGACCCTCGACCCCGGGCAGGGGCCCGCGGAAGCCCCGCGTACTCGTGCTAGGGAGCCGAAGGCCATTGGCGTCCCCCCGGCCGTGCTGCGCGCCGTCCCGTCGACCTCGACCGCGCCACGGCCGCGCCCCGCCACCAGCATACTCGAGATCGTGGAGGAACTGTCCGCCGACGCGGGGACGGCCTCGCCGTCACCGGAGTCACCGCCAGTCTCGCCGCACGCCCCATCGCCGTCGTCCACCACCACGGCAGACACAGGTGCAGAAGACGAGGCCGCCGGCTTCGTCGACGTCGCTTCTTCGGCCGAAATGCCAAACGACGAGCCGGCCAGGGCCTTTGCAGCAACCTCCACGACAACGGAGTCACCAGAATTGGACAGCGCCTCCTCCTCGCCAGCGCCGAGCCCCACTGCCGGGCAGCCGGTGCAGGTCATGTCGCTGACCACTGCCCCTGCAGGTTGGTACTACTTACTTACCGGAGAGCGCCTGCAGCTCGCCTTTGCACCCGTACCGTGTCTCTGGGAGCTCTCTACCTTACGTTCTGGGCGCTCGCCGGCAAACAAATCACTTTTTTTTTTTTGCGTGAGGGTGTTATATTCTGTACTACTTTATAGGACCGAGCGTGGCATCGGTGCCGTTGGACTCGAGCTGGCCGGCAACCCCCGCCGCGCCGAGCTTCGCCCCTAGCACAACCAGCACCACAACTTCCTCCCCCTCGTACATCACCAGCACCATCACCACCAGCACCGGCGCCCCAGGCTCCCAGTCCGACCCGGTTGTCGTCCACCCGGGGGTGAGCGTGCCCAGGCGGTCGACTGCCGCCCCCGCCGAGGCCGCCACCTCCACGGAGTACTTCAGCACGGTGGAGCCCCCCAGCGTGCTGCGCTCGGCGCCATCCACCCTCAGCGTGTCCAGGCAGCAGCGGCCCGGGTCTGGCGCCGGCCCGGGCGCCATGTCGCTGTCTGCCGGCGGCGGCCTCGACGCTGGCTCCATCACCGGCATCGTCCTGGGCATCGTCGTGTTCGCGGGACTCGTCGGTGAGTCCTCGTCGGCCGACCCTCCGCCATCCACCGTCGAGGTGTTCCAATAGTAATGGATTGGCATCTTTATTTCATGTTTCAGGCACTGTAAGTTTTGTGCTGTATCGCCGGCGGTATATCAACAAGCCTCAGACACTTAACGACAAGTGCAGTAATCCAGACTCAAGTGGTTACATAGACGACAGCACGTTACGGGTAACTAGTCTTTTCAACTTCAAATGTTGTTTACTAAAAGTAAATGAAATTATGGTTTCATTCATCTTTCCTTCCTTCTTCATCATCTTCTCGTGTTTTCTTGCAGGAAAATTCTGAAGAAATGTACAGTCTTGACAATGATTCGTTTTTAAATAGTCTGGAAGCTATGACGATCCAAAACTACTGGACAGATACTGTGAAGCACACTAAACTTTGAGATGTAACTTAGCTAAATATTCCTGTGGAGAAAGTTACCTTAAAAATGTGTTGCTTGCTACAAGATTTTTCTTTTTGAAATTAACTTGAAGCATGGAAGTCTACTGGCATACCTTCCCCTCCCCCATCTAATCCCTCAATATTCATTTCCTTACTGTCCATTTAAATAGGTATTTATTTCCCCTTCATCATATCTCTCAAATTCTAACTTTTTTCTCCTTTCTATTTAGAAATTAATTAGATTTTTGTATTCTGACCAATGAAATTTCCGTAGCTCAGCTCACACTGTAGGCATAAAAATATTTTGGACTATGCAGAGTTCAGTAATATCTATATCCTCTCTCATCCATATTGGATCAGAGATCACAGAAATTAGTGAGAAAAAAATTGAAAAGTAGAGCATAATCTGCAGAGTTAATTTGTGAAGTGACAATGTTTAATAACCTGCACTTTTATGAATTCAATTTGATCATTCCTTATTTTATGCAAATAGAAATGTATTTTTGTAGGTCTAGCAAACTACGAGTCAAATTGACTTTGTTTTAAACTGAGGGAGCTATAGTTATGAGATTGTTATTCCATGGTCTCAGTGCTTGGATTGGGATATATTTTGTACTAATTGATTTCAGGCCCTAACTAAAGATTAACTATTATTTCTAGATTTATGAAAACCTGTGAAGGCCTCAACTACAAATTGCAAAGAAGCATGATAAGAAAACCATTTTAGATAAACCAGAAACAAAATTAGCATGGACCTAATATTAGTGTAGAGAAAGCTCTCCAAAAGTGCAATGGAATCCCCATCACACTATATACGTACTGTATTACACACTAATTGTTTGTTTCACTTAAAATTTAAAGGTTGTTTGGTTGTGAGGTGTAGCGTCTGTGTTTGTGTGAGATGATATTATGATGGGAGCTTTGCATTTTATTCCCTGATGATTTGTGTGTATGGTTCCAGGTGATTAACCATGAGGGACCCTCTTCACTCGTGTTTTGTGATATTTTTAGTTTGTGTTTATTTTTAAGCTGGGCCATTTTTAAGTAAGAAAAGTAATATCCCTCCATACTTATCCACAGCTGTTCAAGGATTGAGATTGGGTCCACTAGGCAGATAGGCTCATAACAATGTACATGCATATTGTTTCTCATTCATCCTAGTCCTCCATTCACTTATTTCTTTTTTATTTTACTAGATATATCTTTTATAGTCTGTATTACACATCAATTGATTCCATTGTTAATTGAATCGAGAGTATCAATATTGTGTCCTTGATTTGGTCTTGTGTAAATGACTGCCCAAAATGATTGTACCTGCCTTTTACTATCACTTTAATTAATTGGTATGCTATTTCTAATTATCAAGGTGCCTGTCAATCTATCCCAATCAAGGAGCCTACAGCTAAAACAGTAGCTTTAAGTGCAAATCATAATTTAGATAATTTACAAATTCATGTCACATATCACCAGCTGCTGAACCGATTAGATTAAGATGATGTTTTCCCGAAGTATTACCATTATTTCTGTATTAAGAGTATCCTCCGAGCTTAATTGCTTTGTTGACATTTTTTTTATGGCGTACTTTACTTTTTCTAAGTCAAAATTAGTGCTTTTCCAAAATGTGCAAAGTAAATTTTAAGAACGATGCACCTTTTAGTGCAGAAAAATATGTAGCATGAAACAGACAATTGGATTTCATTTTTACAGTATCAGAATTGCACTCTTACTTTATGTACATTAGTTCTTCACACTCAATAACTGTGATATGACAGCAATGAGATCCCTCCCTCCCCCTCCCAAATTGTTTGCGTTGTAGAGCAGTGATCTTGCATTACAATGCAATTTTATTTATTTTACCGTGTAAGATAGTTGATTTTATATTACCATAAATTTTTATTTGCTTGTATTTATTTACATGTTCAGTTTGAAAAATCAAGCTATCTGTAAGAAATAGGATGCTATCAAAACAGAATTTTTGTATAGTTTGATTTGGGAAGTTTATACTGTATCTTGCAATGAGATTCCCTGAAAATAGTGTACGTGCGTAAAGTCACCACCTTTAAGAATTCTCAACATAAAACTCAATAATTGTGTGTTGATGCTTTACACTGCTGTGATTGTTTGTTTAAGTTTTGTTCTATTGTTACGTTTCTCAAAGAGCGATGTTGTCCACGTTCAAAATCCAAGAAAATAAATGTACCATTAAAATTGCAATTTCAGTAATTTAAAATTTATTTTGATACAGAGATGCCTTATGTTTTTTTATGAAAACCATCCCTATGTACATCTTCATGACTCATCACAGATAATATTATTTCCCTGCATACACAGAAACAGTCGAAAACAAACATTTCTGTTTGGACCCTTCATAAATGTCAGAAAACCACGACACTGCTACATCACAATATATCCGGTTGCATAGTGCCCCATATTAATTCCGTTTTGGTCCCAATGATAATGTATAAATTGTTGGTACTGTTTCTTTAGGATAAGTTCTAACCATTTAAAACCCAGCCTTCAACTTCTTGAGATAGGTTTGACGAACATCCATATCATCTGCAGGGCGGTTGTATGGTGTCCACACAGGTTCACCAACAAAGTACCTTTTGACGCGGATGAAATTCTGGCAACAAATCAAATATAAGATACTTCCAATTGGTTTCAGTACAAGTACCTAATTCCAACATGCTCTTGATGTATGCTGACCTTGGCGTCTAGAGTGAATCTGTGGTAGATTCCACTTGGAATGATGATCAGGTCACCAGGAGTAACTTCAATACGAATCCATTCATCATTTGCATCTCGTACATCAAAGAATCCGCTACCATCCAAGCAGAGGCGGATTTCTTCATCAGTATGAATGTGTTCCGTAAAAAATGTGCGAAGCTGAAATTTTTTCAGGAAGTGAGAAACAAATATGTAATTCATTTTGAAACAGTACAAAAAGTGACACAAATGTGTTTTTTTTGTTGTTTTTATATTATTATTGCCATCATTATTTATTCACTATTTATTGTAATTTGGGTTGGGGGTGGGGGGTGAGGTGCGGGCTTACAATGGCTTAGATGGCATACCTTCGCTTCATAGTCTGGCTTGCTATCCTCAGTTTGAAACTCATCTTCATAGGTGTAGCCACGCTCGTTCTTCAGACTTTGTAGGACCATGTCAGTTTCGAAACTTTCATGGTTTATCTGGGGTAGGTAGTTCATAAAATGTAAGAAATGTAAGGTATGTTCAAACTACATGCTGTCGCTCAATAGATTACCTTGAAGTGTTCGACACCTGTTGCCTTGCACAAATCAGATATTTCTATAAACTTTGGCGGGTTTCGATGATGTTCAAGCCTTTGATCTTCTCTTGAATCATCCATATACCAGGCTCGCACCATTTTGGTGTTGATTTTGACCCTGGGCACAGGAAACTACTATAATATAATCTTATAAAAAGTACATGTCAACAACCATTTTCCATGTCAAACAATATTATTCTCCATATGTCACTATTGCCAGTTGCTCAGACGCGTTAAACGTTACATTGTGCCATCATTAATACGTGTATAGAAAGTCAAAAATTAAGATTTATAGTTCTAGAATCACTCACTTCCCTCAAAACAAAATAAAACGTTGTAGTCGAAAAATCTTTTTTAGCAGTGAGGACTGGTCAAGACAAGAACTAGTAGCAGACGAGGGCCTGAATCTGAATCGAACTGACGATGTGAATACTCAGCATCATGAAGTCAGAAATAGCCCCTGTAGCGAGGCTATCGGTGCGCACGGAACTATGGCGATCACTGCGGTCAGAACGGAAACGAAGGACTGCCTGTGCCTAGAGAGATGCCTAGGAACTGTACCAGGTGGCTGATTAACGCCGCGCACTTTTGTACTATGCAACCCGCCCGCACGGCACCATCCGAGACTGCATACCCATCAGGCGCAGGGGACCGGCTCCAAGGGCCAACGCGTGGCTCCACCACTGTTGGAGCCAACGCCCAGGGGCGTTACTTGGGGTTGTTCGCGGTCTCGCGCGAGTTCCCACGAGTCCGCCGGGGGTAACTCGCCGTTCCACGGGGGTGACACGTGGATCCGCGGGGGTAGCTCGGTGTTCCACGGGGATAGCTAAATGAACGCGCGGCGCGCGAGGTACTCCCGTAGCAGGATCCGGGGACCGCGAGCAAGTCCCGTAGCCCGCGAGTCACCCCCGCGGACCCGCATGTTACCCCCACGGACTCACGGGTTACCCCTGGCGGACTCGCGGGAACTCGAACCACGAGCAACCCCTAGTAACGCCCCTTGGGCGTTGGCCCCAACAAAAGTGGTAGAGCGACGCGTTCGCGCTTGGAGCCGGGCCCGCTGCGCCTGATGGGTATGCAGTCCCGGATGGAGACGTGCGGGCGGGTTGCATAGTACAAAAGTGGGCGGCTTGAATCAGCCACCTGGATGTTTATGCCGTAGCCCGCTGGCCCGGGCTAGCGCTAGCTCGGGCTGAAGGCTTTGAATTTCATATTACCCGAAAAAGGGTGTTCTATAGTCGGGTCAGATTAAGCTGACTCTGGCCGCCGCGTTTGTGGCCACAATTTTGTAGCCACAAGTAAGGACGTAATTTTTGTCTGAGACAGCCAATTATTTTTTTTCCCGTGTGACGCCGGACCCGCGCGCGTTCAGTGGGGCACTAAGTAGTGGCGCGAAGTTTCGTGCTTCGAATCTCTGTCAAAATATCTTTTTCCTCGGGCGGGGCAGATCGCCCTTTTCCTCGCTTGTTTCGTTTTCAAAATCAATGTGTCTAAGGAAGAGTAAGGACTCGGCAGGCAGCCTTCGCCGTGACGCCGTACCCGCGCGCGTTCAGTGGAGCACTAAGTAGTGGCGCGAAATTTCGTGCTTCGAATCTCTGTCAAAATATCTTTTTCCTCTGGCCATACGAAAGGGATCATCCAGAAAGTACGTCCGTCATTCGCTGTTAAGAACCCTCCAAATTGAGGCAATGCAAGCTCTCATGGCGCCTGATGGGTAGGCACAATCTTGCATGCCGTGCATGCGTGTATTGCGGGGTGGCCTACCCCGAGTTCTGCAGGCGCCGAGCTTCTGTAGTTTGCAGGATGATTTTGAGAGAAACAGACGTACTTTCTGGATGATTCCAAAGGGGATTGGTGAGAGCCGACTGTGTTCATTCCACTCGAATGTTTTTGGCCTGTCAGATCAATTTTTATATAAAAAAAGAAAGCGGTGAAGAAAAAAAAAAGTGTGCCTCACCCGTATCTGTGACGGGCCCCGCGCAGCTAATGAAAGCTACTTAAACGGATTGAAGAGGACTTTGGTTGTTGGACTTACGGGTGTCGCAAGGTGAGCAAGACTGAAACCCAGAGGCCTTACCATCAGGGGTACGCGGGATTCGAACCCACAACCCCGAGCGCCGAGTCAATTCGACAGTTACAGTGACCCTGCCACCAGAGCTACCCAGCCAACGGAGGTGAGCCGTGTTCCAATGCTACTTGAACTTCAGGTCGGCCACGAGGCCTTACACTAACACTAAGCGGACAGCGAAGTTTAGACATGCGGTTTGGACGTAAAAAAATGTTTTTTTAAAAAAGCAGTACGATGCAATGAACATAATGGACGTTTTTCGAACAGAACAGACTTTGATCGGAATAGGCGAACGGCCCAGCCACGGTGTAGAGATCTCTCTACACCGTGGGCCCAGCTTAGACCTCTCCCCGCCGGTCGCTAATCCCCTGGCTGCTGGGCGCCGGAGGGTCCGGCCTTGCCCCGAGCCCCGCCCAGGCGAGGTACCCACGCCCTACCTGTGTTCACTCGATGTAGATCCGAGGCGAAGCCCAAATCGCGTATCTATATCGAGGGAACACTGTACAAGTGCCGAGCTCGTCCGCTACACCAACATCACCTCTTGGCGCCTGCAATGGGGTGGTTAGGCCAACCCACATGGCACCTGTGTGGAGCCGGTGGCCCACCCTGACCTGCTCGAGGTTGAATTTCTCATAACGTACAAAGATAGCCTCGTTGCCGGGAGCCACCTCCCCTCCCCCGCCCCCCGCTGGCCTGCTGGCTGGGCGCCGCCGGGCCGGCGGGCGGCCTGGTCCTGCCTGGTCGTCGCTAGCGCCAGGCCACCAGTGCGAGATGTAATTTTGTGTGGAGCAGTTGTGTGGTGTCTCTTTGGACGTTCTTTCACGGGCTTTTGAGAGTGAATCAGTGTGTTGTGCGGTAGACCCCTTGGAATATGTCGGGGGATGTGCAACCAAGGAAGCGAAAGGATAAAAAGAAAAAGAAAGGTTAGTTACACAGCCATCTGAAAAGCAAAAAGTTTCGGACTTGGGACACCAGTTGCTTCTTGTATGATAAGAGGTATTTCCTTAGTTCAGGACTCTTGTCAAATGGTTTTTCTTCCTATTACGAGGTAATTGTTTTGTAATGTGTCCCTGTGTAAGAAAAATGAATTGCAAATGGTTAATTCAAAGGTAAAATTAAATTAATATAAATAATTTCCCATATTTGACATAGTTTTTAATATGAAATAGTTTTGAAATTTAAGTTAGTCTGAACAAATTTTTGATATCTACCGAAACTTATTACTTTTGCTCTCTTTCATTCTTTGGCCAGTTTAAATGGCAACCTTAAGTTTTGGGATCTGCTCTTTTGCACAAGTTCATATAAGTTCCTGACATAATAATTTACCAAATCAAATTGATGTAATTGCACAGAATTTATAATGTAATGTCTTGTTAATTTTTTTCTAGTCCCCTGTGTTTGTTAAATTTTCAATTCGCTACTTTTCTTTTCTTTCTCTGTTGTTTGCGTTATGATTCCTCTACTTTTCTTTTCTTTCTCTGTCATTTGCGTTATGATTCCACTAATTTGAAAGAAATGAAACTGTTATCACATTTCTGTTTTACTATTGGACCTAGCTTAACTGTGGAAGTTAAACAACCCTTTCCTTGAGGTCATTGGTAAAATTTAGCAACATCTAGCGGTTTTGTTCTGTAGAATGGATGACCTATTGCTACTATTTCCAGATAAGGGTCCAAAAGTGTTCTTTACCTGCCACCACATGCCCTTCACTCGCACGGACGGACACCCACATCGCGTGAAGGACTTGGTGCTCCAGAAACTCGAGCCGGCGAGTGTGTGACCCGACACGACTGTTTTGAGCCTCTGGCGGCCGCCGGGCCTGGCTGGACGCGCCCTGCTGCCCTTGGCTAGAGCCCTTGGCGTGTGCGCTCGTGCGCTCGGGTTGCCTAAGGCAGGGACACTCCCTGACCCCTCGGGCCGCCTCTGACCCCTCGGGCCGCCTCAGGCTCGAGGAGTCCTGCGCCGCCCCCGCGGATTGTCTACCCCCCAGGCCGCGGCCGTTGTTCGGCAGAGGCTTCCTCCACCACGTGGTCGTGGTGGCCGTCGAGAGGATGCGTTTAGCTTTCTACGCCTTTGGCACGATTTTAAAGCGTGGAAGCGGCCCGGCGCCGCCTGGCGTGCGTCCCACTGCCCTGGGCCCACCACCACCGCGGCTGCCGGCCGGCCACGCCGCCGTAGCAGCTGATGTGGTAGAGTTCTAGACAAACGAGGAGCAGATTAAGAAACGTTTCAAATAAGAAATTTCTTTACTATGGTAGATATAGAAGCGCTCGTTAATCTGAACCTGCAGCCTACTCGGGCCACAATGGGTGGTGGCGGTGCAATAAGCACCACCTGTGGTCGGGGCGCCTACTCGCAGCGGCCGCAGGCAACCCGCCCGCACAGCTCACACACATGCACGCCGGTGCAGTATCACAGGGGCAGACGTCGAACCATCGACCTGCCGCAGATCCGATAGGCATCCCCGGTTGGGTAGCGGGACTAGAGTCGTAGGGGCCAACGGCGTCTTGCGGGCGAACCCACGCAACACCATTTAGGGCGCATTCAAAAAAACAAACACCCGGAACACGCGCACGTCATTTCCGGTGGCTCGTCTCGTTGGTGCCGCGCGGACCCACCGGCTGGAGCCACCTGTCGTGCGCCCTCCTGAGTCGCGATCCTCTGGTACCTCTAGTCTTGGCTGGCCCGGTCCCTTGACCTCCACCACGCGATGGCGATGACGACGACCGAGACGACGACGACGCTCAGTACTGCGGACGGGCGGGCGCTTTGTCAGACCGTGCGTTGCCAAAAGCCTCTGACAGGAGGGGTCAGCAGCCTGTGCCGGCTTGCACCGGGTCGGGTGCCCGCCGAGTGCTGGGCCCGCTGGACGCAGAATGTGCTCGCGCGTAGGCAACGCCTAACAGACTGATTCCGCACGGGCCTGTAGTACCCCCTTCTTTGTCGCAGTCATGAGGCACGGCCATTAGGAGGGAGGGAGAAACCCGCCTTGAGTGCTCTGCGGAATCAGTCTACAGGGCGCCACCCGAGGGCGCCCCGCCGGGAGTGACACCCAAGGGGTGGCACCCGAGGCACCTCCAGAGAGTGCAACTCGAGGAGGCCACCCGAGGGCACTACCCAAGGCGCCACCCGAAGAACCCCCCGAGGAGCCACCCTAGGCGCCACTAGAGGCGCCACGTCGTGGTGAATCGATTCGCACTCCTCGATGCGGCGCCGTAAGGTCGCTTGGATGAGACCGGAGCTTTTGAACGAGCAGACCCCGTGGTCGTGTCACGGACGGGGCAGCTGCGTCATGAGCGCCACGTCGGCTAGCTAACCGCGGCGACGACGGGGCGGCGCGGCCCGGGGGCGCCTTTGGCGCGGTGCCCTGGGGATGGGAGGACCCCGGGGGAGAGTCCTGGGACGGTACAAGCTGGCGGGGCTATTCTTAGTCGCACCTCCGCGATGCCGCGCCGCCTGGCCGCCCGCCCTGCGCCCGCCCGGGGCCACAACCTGAGGAACAAGAGGGGCGGGGCGCGGCGGGGCGGGGGTCACAGGCGAAGCGAGCGTAGTGAGAAAAGCGCCCATGTGACATATCCCCCCAAGCCACCCTCGGCCACGGCTCCATGCTTCTCCGCCCTATGCTTATCGGCCCTGTGTCCACAGTGGCCTCCGTGCCGCATCCGCCCCACACCACACCTGGGGTGGGCAGGAAGCAGGGGCGTAGTAAGGGGCGGCCGACAGGGGGGGCGGTGTAGCGCAAGTTGCCTACATTCAGGGGTTTTGTGGCTCAAAGTGCCTACCTTTCAGGCGGCTATCTAGGGGCCATAGGGGGGGCGCCGCCCCCCCCCCCGCCCCCCCCTTAATACGCGCCTGGCAGGAAGTCCCCACAGCACAGGAGTGCGTGGTCTAAGGCCAGCCTGCTGCTGTGTCCTACCGGCACGTTCCCCACTATCGACAGCTCCAATCGTCGCGCTCTTCCGCGAGAGGTTCTTTCTCTCCGCGCCCTGCCCCCCGTCCGGCCCCTCTGGTGCAGCCGTGGTGCAGCGGAGGCTGGGCATAAGGACATGAGCCCAACCCGGGTCTGAGAATGCCCGATATGAGCACGCCAAGAAGTGGCCTGCGTTCCAAATCGTCAGGATGGGCAAATGTCGGGCTCATATCGGGTGCCAGTTGGGGCTCGTGATCCGGGCTGAAGCCCAGGCGGGCTCATGTCATTATACCCCGGAGGCTAGCTGAGAGTTGCTTCTCCTGAAGTTCGCCCTGCTCTATAACCTTCCCGTAGGACGTCTGACCTGACTGACCCTGTTCGTGCAGGTATTTCCTGCAGGTGTTTTCCGCAAGGTTTTTCAGGCCTTGCCCGATATGTTTGTCCTCCCTCTAGCATTCGACCTAACAAAAACTCTACCACGATCTCGACAAATTGTTTCTTTCCTTAGCGTGGGCCGGAGGTCCTGCTGCCGGCCTGGGGCGTCCACTCCACTCTGCCCCCGCATCACTGTGCGGCCCGTGGAGTGCAGCGCGGCACGCGCGGTACACAGCACACTCTCCTAAGGAAAGGGGGGGGGGGGCGTTGATCAAACATTTCCGCCGTCAGTCGCGGATTACTTGTCGGTTGAGTGAGCCGCAAGTCTCAACAGTACGGGTAGCGGGGGTCGTCCACGGTGTGGGCACTCGGGACAGTAGTTTGGTATTGTAGTCTCTGAACTTGTGAATGTTGTCCACAGATGAGCCGACGCTGCCGCCGTTCGTGTACGTGAGGGAGGAGGCACCGGCGCCGGCCGCCCGGGATGGCGGCGGCGGCTCCCCGTCGGCCGCGGCGTCCCCGGACGAGCTCATCCACATCTACAAGGAGTCGCGCCTCGGCGGCAACATCTGCGCCAAGATCGTCTTCTTCCTGCTGCTCGGCTCCATCGCCGTCATGGTCGGGCTCATCATCACCGAGCACCGCGGCTCAAACGAAGGTGAGCGCCGCGCCGAAAATCCACGCTAAAATAAAATTACACTTGTAGGGTCAAACTTCAACTTGTTTTTATTCTGAACAGTCCATGCGGCGTAGAGTAAAGATTTCATTGCCACAGCAAACGTCTTTTGTTAACACGTTCGTAACTTGTTTGTTGAAGGTGTAAATAATGTGCTGAGAAAACCAATATTTTGTTGCAACAGCTAACACCACCTTGTTAGGGTAGGGCAACGAAGTTTGTTCGGAATACCACGTGAATTAAACGCGGCGGTGTTGCGGGATTGCATAGCCTCTTGGGCTTTCAGGGGTATGCCTTCCGGACTGGCCCGGCGGCGGGTGACAAAAATCCGCGGTGGCCAACGGCCAGGGGCGGCGTGTAAAGTTAAGCACGCGTGAGCGCTCACGTACACTGTAAAACGTAGAGCGACCTTTCTTTCCCGAATAGAGCGACGTATAGGCTCCATCGCTCTGTTAGAGTGATTTTGGCGAAATGGCTCGACACGAGTAACAGGAAATGTCTCAGAAACGACTCTAAACTAGCGACGTTTGCGAAAATGACTCAAAATGTGTCTTATTCGTAACCGAAAATGTCGCAGAAGTTACTACAAACGAGCGATGTAATTAATATCACTCTCCCAAAAGTCATCAATTTGGATTCACAATATCGCTCTATTTGGATCGTTTTTGGTCACTCCTTTACTTGTAGTGTGGGGTGAGCGGCGGGCGGCGCGCGCCTCCCTCTCGTTTACTAAGGCAAACTGACTCGAATGTGGACGAACCCATACATAACGTGCCCACGGCAGGGCTAATGTTACTCGTGGCGCCTCAGGGAGTATCCGGAAAGTCTTTTGCCGATACGAAATTGCCCAGTTCAGCCAACGGGAATCTCTCTTAGCGCCTGGTAGGTAGGCAACATATTTCCTGCAATGCATGCGTGCACTGCTACTCCGGGTTGGCCTACCCTGATGTTCGCAGGCACCGAGGTCCTGTAATTTGCCGAAAAGCGGAGTCCTTGCTGGACAATCGCTCACGGGCGGGAATTGCGAAAGCCATTGCATCGTCCGCTCTGACCCGCTATAAAATAAATAACAAAAAACCCTCATGTATTTCGCAACAAACTCTGATGTCGTCGTCTTAGCAAGGTGTTGTTTGTTGCAACAAACTTTTTTGGTTGTCGTGGAAAATTCGTCGACCCGGAAAAAACATATTGTTCCTGTCTTTTTTTGATAAAGACGTTTGTTGTGATGGCATTAATTTTTTTCCGTTTTACGTTTTCTTCATTACGTCCTCATGTTATGGGGAGCTTACCGCACTCGTTGCTTGCAGTGGCGACGGCTTCGGACTCGCCCTGGTCGCAGCTGCTGGAGGGCTGGATAGACGACTCGCCTCCGGACAAGCACGATGATGAGCACGACGTGGCGGCGGACAGCGGCGAACATGACGAGCACGACGACGACGGCGGGCACGATGACGATGGTAACGGAGATCAACTATCCGCACCAATGAAAGCTCACGGTGAATTTTGCCGTACGCACTGTAAAGTTTCCCCACGAATTTTCATCATGAGCTACGGTGAATATGTCGATTTTATCACGGCGTTTAGTTACAGTGATACACTCTGGTTCGCAGTATAGCTTTCAATGACATTCCACGTCTTAGCTTGTGGTGAATATTCACCACGGTTAGAGGGAGATTGTCGCCCTCGACTGTGATATTCACCGTGGGCTTTCAACACTCTGGTGGGGGGGCTCTCGCAGTGCAACTCTTTGTGTTGTAGTGTACAACAAAGAGAGCAGTGCGTGAGGCGCTATGATTGTGTCTTACAAGTGTGATCTGCGGCCCTGGCTAACGTATTGTAAGTGGTCATAATGTGTTTTCATTTTTATATTTCTAGAACATGGCGATGAACATGATGAAGAACATGACGATGAACATGATGAGGAACACGATGAGGAACACGAGGATCATGATGAAAGTGACGTGCTAGAACAAGAATTTAGAGCGAGGGCCGCTCGTAGTGTGGAGTCTGAGTCTAAGGTAAGTGGGGAGGAAGAAGATGAAGGAGCTGAGGATGCGAACCAAGAGGAGGAGGAGGAGGAGGAAGAGGAAGAGGAAGAGGAAGACAGAGGAGAGGAGGAGGATGGAGCTGATGAGGACAACCATGAAGACGAGAGACCTGATAGAGTTACGTCTCAGGAAGATGAAGATGAAAATGAACCTGAGGAACTTGACGGACAAGATGATCAAGAGTTATCTCAGTCTGCAGAAGAGAATACTCAATTTACTGCTGAAGATGAACAAGATGATGATAATGACAGTGGCGAAGACAAGTTTGTCTTTAAAGAAATTCCTGGAGTAACAGCAAGTGCTGAAGATCTAGAGGACACTGGTGATTTTGATAGTGCCCAGGGTGAAGTTGATCAAGGTAACTAGGCAGGAAAAATAGTTTCTTCAGTTATTTTATCTTTTTTGGCCTTTTTAGTTTTTGTCATGTTAGATAAGCAAGTGTATCTCCGTTTTACAAAACTTGGTGTATTTTTAGATGAAGAAGATGATATCAATGAATCTGCAGGGAAAGGTTCCGATACTGGGTATTACAGTGCTTATGAAGATAGTGGTGAAGGTGACAATGATGATATTGGTGATGCGGATGGTGATGATGATCGTGAAGATGATGATAGAGATGATGCCGATGGTGAAGATGACGCTGATGGTGATGATGACACCGATGGTGATGATGATGAAGGCGATGATATTGATGGTGAAATTGAGAAGGAAGACAATGAAGGTGATAGTAATAATAGTAATGATGAGGAAAATGAAGAAGCTGAAGACAAAATTAATTTATACAGGGATGAACAAAATGAAGACAAAAGTAACGAAAGAGATGACGATTTCTTTGATACAAGAGGGAATCAGGCTCCAGAAAACAAAGACAGTGAAGAGTTGAAGGAGCGTGAAGAAGATGATGATGTTGATGAAGGTTTTCATGAACCTGACCAGAATGATGATGATGACGATGATGTTGATGATGACATCTTGAATGATAAAGATGATAAAGATGTTAATGATGATGATGATGACGATAAAGATGATGTGAATGACATTTCAAGAAATACTGATGAATATGAAGAGATAGAACATGAATTTGACTCTCTAGGTACTAGCCCAATATCAGAAAGGACAGATGTTTCAGCTGAGCAGCATGAGGAGGTGAGGGGAAAGAACACAACTCAGTAACGCAATATTGTGTGTTTCTTAACCCAAATCACCTTTAGTGGCTTTTTGAGTTCACCAGTGTGTGACATGTCTTGTAATGCTTATTTGTTTTGATGTTTTGTTGGAGTAATAGTGAATTTGAGCAGCCTGTACACCTCCCTTACTAAACTTGCACTTTGCTTTTCCCCCTCTCTCTTTAATAATTTCTCAATATAATTTTCCAATCTCTTGTACTTTAACAACTGTGGTTCAGTGACCCTTAAACCAAATTTTAGGACATAGCTTAAAGCTGCATTCTCCCACTGAACTAAATTAAATTTTCTTTTTGTTGTATTTTAGTCTGATGATGACTTTGATGAAATCACTGATGCCCTTGAAAACATGGAATCCGAAAAAGCTGAAGAGGAAGCAGAAAGTCTTGAGCCTATCACGCGTGAGTAACCATTCCCTCCCTTTTCTTTTTCTCTCTTTTATAGTTTTAAGCATAAACATTTATCGATTTCAGAATTCTAGAGATCCTTTACATATTTTTCAAAGTGCTCAACGGTTCATTTTAGGAATGTGATGCTCATTTTGTGATAAGAATTTTTTTATCAATCTATGGAATTATTTAGAAGTTTTATATTTTTAGTCAAATGCTGTCTTGTAGGATTATTTTAATGTAAAAGAAGGAATTCCTATTTATTAAGTGTGTGGATTTTAAGTCAATATTCTTGGTTTGTTCACAGTGGCGCTTAAATTTGGTGTTGGAATTGCTATCATCATTGTGGCCCACGTGGTGTTGGTTAGGAAATGGAACGAAAGTGGTCGGTATAACTGCGCCTTTTCCTTTTGCTTATGCGTTATGTGGACAAACCTTGCATTAACATGGATAAAGAGACCTGCTGTGTTTTTCTGCCTTATTCCATAAAAATAGCTTTTTGAGCTCAGAGAGTGAAATTCAAGGTGATTGTGATTGAAATGCAGTATTTGCATGCACTTAAAATGTGTTGTTCAAATGAGATTCCTAAATAATGTTTCTGTTATTTACATTTGCATTAGGAGTTCTTGCTTTTGCACATTTTTGCCAGAAGTTGGTGTGCAATAATTTTCTAATTACAAAAACAAGGAGCTTGTAATTGTCAATAATCAACTGAGTCTTGCAAATTGTCATGTGCATATTACAGTCTGGCAGTGTACTAGTTGTTAACTGTCCACTGCCTGTTCATATAATGTAAGTGATTCTCCTTCCTCTGTGTCATCATAAATAGCATGGGGCGAATAAGAGGAAACATTATTAAGCCATATTTATATGCAAGAATGGCAATGTACAAGTGTGATGTTTTGCTGGTTGTTTCATTGGTAATGTGAACAATTTTCCACTAACATGATTTCTCTCCACATACTAACAAACCAACCCATTGTAATATGGAAAAGGCTTTCTGGCTTGTTTAGATGTTGTGAGTAACTTACACAATACAGTTAATTCTTGATTGTTTTTTAAACTGATTTCTGGTCTCAATACTCTGGCCTGTTTCTGAACCTGTCAACTTTTGGAACAGATGAAGCAGGAGCTGCAAACTTGCAACACTCAGCCATCCCAGCAAGTGCTGTCCCAAGAAGACAAACTTTAATACCTCCTACTGTGGACCCTTCTAATCTTATACCAGAGCCAGATGATGTTGAAGGTACATTCAAATGCGTTTGGAAATTCTTAAGTTATTACGTAATTAAAATTAAAAGTTTGTCAAAAGTTTGAGAAATAAGAGAGGTCTTGTGGTCTGCTATAGAATACTCTGATGAGGAGTTTGATGACGATGAAGAAGAAGATCCACTACGCACCAAAATTGTGAGGCAAGATCTTGTCCGTAAATATGAGAGGATTTCACCTGAAGCTAGTGAAGATGAGGAGATCGAGGATGAAGAGGACGAAGATCTAGAGGAGGATGAAGATATAGAAGAGGAAGAGGAGGAAGAGGAGGGACCAGAAGAAGATTTTGATGTAAGAATTGTAGCTTGTATTTGGCTGTTTATCTGTATGATGAATTTGTCACTTGTTTGGTTTGTAAATTTATGGTTTCAACTGAAACTAATTCAATGTTTATCATTACTAAGAAACGGTACGGCTACAAGCTGGCAGCAGTTCCCACAAAACAATCTAGTCAAGAAGAGGATGACGATGAACTGGAGGATGAAGAAGAAGATATAGAGGATGAGGAAGAAGAGGTAGAGGATGAAGAAGGCGAATATATCCCTCATATTCAACCTTGGAAAAGTTAGTGTGTTACCTGAAATGTTAAAGTGTTCCTTGTCACAGAAATGAGCATCATGTTCAACTAACTTTAATTATAAGTACTGTTACCTGTCCAAATTCAATATCAGAAGCTTTTTGTTGAGTGACAAATTATTTGAAATGCAGTCAAAATCTGTATATTTTTTTTTGAGAACTTAATGCTATTGTTTCCTTATTTTGCTACGAGGGTTTATCTAATAAAAATATCATTCCAAACAGACATCATACAACCACCGCAGGAATCGGACCCAGAGGTTTCTGATGGAGAGGAGATTTCAGGCTCTGAAGATGAACCATCTCCTCCTCCAGCAGCTGTAAGGAGAACGGGTGGACCTAAAGAAGTGGATGAATTTCTTGAATGGCCAATGGGGCCAGATTACCCACCAGAACAATCAAACACGCCACCTCTTGTAAATAATTTTTACTATTTTCTATCTTGTGGCATAAAAGTACAGTCAGTAGAGGAAGCAACATGAACTTAGTTAATGTTTTATATGTATTTTCTTTTTTATTTGAAGAGAGCAAAGACCGATTATGATGCAATGGAGGCTCAGATAGAAGAGGTAAGTCTAACACTTGTTTTGGCCGTATCACCTTTTTAAAATCTCATTTTTATTTATCTATCTTCCTTGCTTACATATATATTGCATTTTATCATCACATGGCACTCAAACACAAATTTCCACATCTCCTGCAAAAGTTTGTTGAGTTAACTTGTTCCAAATCTTAAGTATTTATGGATTTGTTTTCTTCTTTCCTAATGTAGGAATTCAACATATAGTCTGTTCCTTTTTTGTCCTTTTCCCTCTATCCAATTAGAATTGTCATCAATTTTGTTTTATTTGGATTAAACAATACTTTTGTTTTTGGCCTGCTTCAGTAATGAAATGACATTTTCAAAACTATTATATCTAATTTGAAAGATAAACTAACTCCCTCAAAGATTTTTTACGATAAATCTATTTAGCATGATTTTTGGCTTCTGTTTAAACTTGCTCTAGAACTAATATTGTTGCCTCATCCGTCAAGCCACCTTTAGCTTCATGAGCACTAAAGTTGTAGGGAAACAAGTCCAATCTCTGCAAGTTAATTAATCATCTTTAAC